TTTTTTCTTCGGTTTGGATGTTGTTATTTTTTCTACCAATTTTTCTGATCCATGTTGAATCGCATCTTCAGCGGCTTTTTGAGCTAGTTTTTTCCCTGCAGTTTTCACTCCAGTTTTTAAAGCAGGAAGTGCAACTTTAGCTACTGCTTTTAAAGCAGATCCTAGTAATTGAGCAGCAGTTCCACCACGTTGAGTTACAGAACGATGAAAAGCATCTACATTTTTATGACGATTTTTTGCTACTCCTTTGAACCATCGGCGCGTTTCAGTAGGGAGTTTTAAATTTGTAAATTTTCCCTCCATAGCTTGTCGACATAATCCTTGTAAACATTCCCATTCGGATCGCTTTGCCCGTCGAAGAGTCGGGACAACTTGTGAAGGAGGTGCTGTTGCTAAATGACGTATAAATGAACGCTGTGATTTGTCCATAATTTTATTTAAAAGTGACTCAATTGGATTTGCGTCTCACTTTTTATCTCCATTCGATTGAGGAAACATCGAAAAAATGAGTTTTTTCGACGATGTTGCTACAAATCCTGATATTTATGCAAACGACCATATCTTCAAGATGTTCTATGATGATGTACCCAAGTTAGAAGAAGAAGAAGAAAAAGAAGAAGAAGGACCATCGAGTTCTTCTTTTCCTCAAGAAAAACACGATAAAGAAAGAGATGAAATCTTAGAAGAACTTTTAGACGAAGGTGATCAACCCAAAGAACAAGATCCAACCAATCCTCAAATCACGTCAGTTTTATCAGAAATGATCAACTCTGATTTGGGTCCTCTTAGTCCTGTTAAAGATCCTCCTACTCCTGCTACTGCCGGTCCTTCTAATTTCCAAGACGATCTGACTCCTGTTCCTATGATTTCTGAAAATGTCAGAAATTATACTGTGTTCCCTCTTCCTGATGAGCAAGTTCGAAACATGAATTCTAAAGAACGAGCCATATACAAAAAAAACTTGGAGGATTTCAAAGTGATCTATCTCAAAGAAACAAAGAGAAAGAAAAAAATGCCTGCTCTCTTCAATGCAAGTGAAAAGCTGTTACTTGAGATGATGAAAGCTAAACTTGCTCCTGGTGCGATGAAGTTGATCAAGAAAAGAGATGATTACCAAGAATTGAAAAAAATTCTGACCAATGTCAAAGAGGAACTCAATTATCCTGAGGGATTTACTAAACAAGGGATAAAAAGGATGGCCAATTTAGCAAACGCCATTGAGGATCGAGTCGTCGAGCTTGAAAGTAGAGTTAATTATTTGACTCGATCACCAGGTGCACCTTCGCCATCAGCAACAACAGCAGCTGCAGCAGTAGCAGGTCAACAAGATGACATGCAACAACAAAGTGTTATGGATCATTCTGCTTCTGGAAGTGCTTCTGTTCCTGGGAACACTCATGTACAATCAACCAGAAATGGTGGAGGAAATGGTGATGATAATGGAGGAGATGATGGTGATGATAGTGGGTCTGATCATAGTGAAGGTCCTGGTGATGGGTTTGGCAATCGTCGTCACAAGCATACGAATCAAGATTCCGTCTCTAAGGCAATAAAAACCCGTCTAGCTGACGGAGATTATCAAACCATTGCAGAAACGACAACAGTAACAACGGTCCGAAAAGGCAAGCGACCCAAAGTGAATCGAAGTCATCAAAGCACAACGATTCCTTTAACAGCTTCAAGTCAAAACGGAAACAACGGCGACGACGGTGGTGATAACGGGGGTGGAAGTGGACCCTCAAACACAAAAAAAAGAAAAAGTAACGTGCCAAAAACTCAAGATCGACGTCGAAAGCGCGCTGGACCTTCTTCTACATCAACGACAGCAGCATGAATCAAGCCAAACCTGTAACCTTTCATCAATGGAAACATCCTTCTAATATTTGGATTGCCGGTCCGACTCAATGTGGTAAAACGCAATTCATACGAAAAGCGATCAAATACAAAGATACTTTGTTTAAACCTAGTATTGAACAAATCGTCTTTTGTTATGCGCAATGGCAGCCAGCTTACGATGACATTCAAAAAGAAAACAGCGACGTCATTTGGATTCAAGGATTACCCGACGATCCCTTTAAACATTTCAAGCCTTTTACCCGCCCGGGACTGCTGATTCTAGACGATGCTATGGTCGAAGTCAAAGATAAAGCGAACAAAGTGAACAATTGGTTTACCAAAGGATCTCATCACAAAAACATTAGTATCGCTATTTTACTCCAGAACATTTTTCCTGAAAAATTAAGAACTATTTCTGTAAATGCTCATATTAGTGTCATTTTTAGAAGTCCTCGAGATAAATTACAAACGCGATCTTATGTTCGTCAAGTTTATCCTTATCAAGAAGAACGAGTTCAACAAGCTTTAGCTTATGCTCATCAAGTTCCTTTCAGACCACTGATTCTTAATCTTCATCAAGATGTCCTTGATGAATATGGAATGATGGTTGATCTATTTCCTGAAGATTTGAAAGAATCTAAAAATCCATTTCCTCAGGTTCTTCTTCCACCCAATTATTCAGAACATAACTAATGTAACAGTTTAAAGTAAAATAGACAAAGTGGGTTGTACTAATAAAAACATTTAATTACAAAAAAAAACGTCTACATTTTTTGTTTTTGTTTTAGCTTAATCAAACATAGAATCGATTACATTTTTTGTTGCTTTCTTTCTAGCCTTTTTTTATAGTTTTTTTCATCACTCTGTTGTTACTTGATTTCTTTCTTAAATTTTTTACAGCTTGTCTTTGTAAGTCTATTTTCATCTTGGTAGATTCGTCTTGTAATGCTTGTTTCATATCTTTCCCTTCAAAAGAATCAGCTACTACATTCTTCATTGCTTGTGTTCCACGTTTGATCGCTGCTTCAGCTATGGATGATCCTGCGTTTCTTCCAACACGTAAGAATCGATCACGAACACGTCGTAAAAAGCCTCCTCCACTTTGACTTTTTTCTGGCCGATAAACAGGAATGGTCATGGATCCTCCCACTTGTGATCTTTCGTATCCATAATGCCCTCCCAAAAATCGAGGTCCACTGTAAGGCGAAATAAAGAGTCCACCTCCACTTTGATCATTTGGTCTGTACACATCAATATCCATGATGACAAATGTTCCTTGGAGTTGATGTTTATCGTTTAAGTAGTCGCAATGTAATGGTGGTGACTCCTTTCTTGACAAAGTTAATATTTTCTCCGTTTTCATCTTTGACTTCAAAGGTGATGTGATGTAACGTGGCTGTTCTCAATGCTTGGTAATTCAGATGATGAGGAGCAAAGACATACTGTTTGGGTTGAAAAGGATCTCCTTGAGATTGAGCCACTGCAGACATAGGGACAATGTCCAGTAATGGTAATGTTTTGGTCCCAATGTTTTGAGGTTCGACAACATCACACGTGATATGAGCTAATGTGTTGACACTGTTCAGAGTCGACGTTTCTTCAATTTCAATTAATTTGGATGTGGGTGAAGGTTGAGGAATTTTGGTGATTTCTTGGTCCACTGATATCACTCCTGGTGCTATCCAAGGTACTAGACTTATCGTTTTCATATCATGGTTTGAAGGAAAGGTATATCCATGTTTTACTACCGTATCATAGTAAGGTTTACCTTCTCGGGTTACAAGTTTTAATCCAACCGTTGATAGTCCTAATATCTTGTAGAAATCTTGAGGCAAGGAAAGAGTGAGACTGAATGAAGGGGAACTTGAAGGTGAATAAAATGAAGTCGTCAAAAAATATTTGTTTGTAAAAGATCCAGCCATAGAGCTAGATCGAGGCAAAGAATTATTGTTTGTAAAAGATCCAGTCAAAGAGCCATCATCTTTATACATGAAACTTCCAATCATGTAGATATCTGATGGATTTTTATAAAAAGCACGCAATGAAGGTCCATATACAGTCCTATGGCCAATTGAGAGTTTAGGATTTGTGACATCACTTTTAGTATATCCCATCGATTCCAAGAACAGTTCAGATCCTGTCCATTCGAACTTGTGATAGTTTTTCGTATAGAAACCGAAGCCATGCATTGTTGCATAGAAAAGAACATTTTTATTCGTAAGATGATGAATTCGTTGTAAGACATCATACATGCTCATTCTTCCTTCAAAGTAGACAGGAATGTTTTTTTTTAAATGACCAGAACTGTCCAATTCTTTGACAATCAACATCATGTGGCGCCCCAATCCTCCTTGGTGCATGTTCAAAGGATACCAAGTACCTACGATCATTCTCATTTTGGTATTAAACTCATTGATTAGTCCATCGAAATTAGGCATATTGTCCAACGTGATGGAAGTTATTCCTGTTTTTGGTACTACAAAATTTGGAATCAAATGAACTTTCCACGATGATGATGAAAACTTTGTAGATCGTACTGGTGGCAAGGTGACTTTAGGTGTTGAAATTCGCCATCGTTCCAAATCTTGAAGATGTTTAGGTTCTGGTAATATTGCTGTAAATTTAGTAGCATTGTTATTTGGATAATACGTTCGTGATTGATTTGAAACAAATACCAAATCCATGACGCTTTGATTGAAGTCACGATGCTCTGGTTTGAATGTCAGGAGAAGCAAGGTAGGACGTGGTTTGGAATCAACCCACACTGGAGGATTTCCTGCACCATCCGCCAATTTAAACCCTATTTTTTCCAAGTAGGTATCTTTGACTTTTCTCACCAAAGGATGATAGCTGCTCTGTTCTCGGACATAAGGCGATCCAGAGTATCCAACACGGTCCAGTAAAGGATATTTGGAATGACCTACTAATTCATATTCTATGAACGAACAATAGACCATGATATCGCCCACAGTTTTAGTTTCATTCACTTCAGAAAAAATAGATTTAGAGACTTCAATTGACCATGTTCCATTTAACATCCAATGTTGTCCTAATTCGATCACAAAGTTATCTGGGCGATTGTTGGATGTCAAAGCTTGATTGGGTACAATTTCACTGTTCACCCACATGCTAAAAGGACGACGATTCTTACGTGCCACATCCATTTACGATTTTCTCTTTTGTTTCGGTGGCGGAGGTGTTAAGTCGCTGACATCTCGAGCATCAATCCATTCATTGTAACTATCAGGCCAACCTTTATACTTGACAAATACTTGTCTTTTACGTTTATTATTAGGATCGGTTCGACGTTTCTGAATTTCTTGAACAAGAAAACGAGGCATTTCTTCTGGATTGACAAGTTGTAATTCAGGAGCATAAAATGTTCCAACGATATCTTCACCATTTTCACGATATTCTTTAAGCCTGTAATAAGGTGGTGGACCAATTTCACGAGCACGAATTCGAAACCATTCTTCACTCCATAAGGGAATATAACGTTTATCAAATGTCTGAGTAATATATCTGGTACGAACAATATCTCCTACTTTAAAATCATAGAATTTTTCTTTCATCTGAAGGGGAGCTTGATCGAATCGATCTCGAAATTCTGCCATATTTCCATAAAGAGTTTTCCACACTTCTTCTTCATTGTTTTTAGTGACTTCATTCGGAGCTCGTTTGATCGTCCGATGGTTTCGTGCATTGTATGCATCCATGATTGAAGATAAAACATCCACCCATCGATAAGATCCACGAGTACGAAAATATCTCCATATTTGCCCTTTGATGGTTCTTTGAAGTCGTTCCACTATAGCTGCTTTTGTCGAAGATTCTCCCGAGTGCAATTCTGGAGGAATAGGATATTCCTTGAGTAATCTTTTGACATCTTGATTGTAGAATTCAGAACCTTTGTCCACATAAATAACTCGAGGAATATCATGTTCAGCCTCATTATCGATGATATGTTGAAACAGTTCTTTGATTCCACGTGCAGTTTCAGGACCTGATTTGTTTTTCAGTGGTATAGCCCATGCTTTTCGTGACAAGACATCAATCGCAAAGAGAATAAATCGATACTTGTCATTTTCTTTAACGACATCAGATCGTTGCATATCAGATAAGTCCATCTGCCATTGATCATCCAAACCGTAGACGGGTCCAAAAGGACGGCGAGGGTATCGTTTTCGCGCAGGACGGTGGACTTGATACGTATCTTGATTCTGTAACCACTCTTTCTGCTCTTGTTTTACTCGAGTTTTGGACCAATTCTGAGTTCCCCATTTCTTGTCTTTTGTAAATTTCTGATGTGTTCGGTCTGCAAAAGCACTTGCACCAGTAAAAGCATAAGGGTGAGAAGAACTAGGCTGTGTCCATTCTTTCTTCCAAGCTAGTTCTCGTTTTTTTCTTAGTTTCGTTTTCTTTTTAATCTGCTGCTTTCCCTTGCCATTTTTTAACCATTTGTCGTAAACGGAAAGATTTTTTTCTTTCATGTATGTTGTTGATGGGTTTTTGAACGACGACGGACCCGCCACAGCACCCTGTTTGGAAGCACTGGTTTTCGCTTGCTTCAATAGAAATTGTGATGCCATCTTCACTCTCTGATGAAGCTGCTGATTTCAAACATCGAATGACTTTACTCCAACATGAGATGGTTTCAGTCATGATTCAATATCCAAAAGGATAAGAACGAATCAAGTTCTCGCCCAGAAATTGACGCTTCGTGTACACGAGTTGAACACATTTGCTTGTAGAAACGGTGCGAAGATGTTTAAATACAGAATCTCTTTCAATTCGACGCGGATAAGATACAGTTTGGGTTTTGTTTTTTTCAACCACCATTTCTTTCATCGATTGTAAATGTACTTTTTCACGAACCGATTCAGTCAATGTAATTCCCTTGCATTTTATATAGGTACCTCCTTTATGGGTTCGATAAGCATAAGATTTTGGACCAATGGATACAAATTCGATCAACCAATCTCTTTGAGGATCTTTACATTCATCTTCCCATTGGCCTAATGAGGATCCTGTCTGAATTTCTTCATCTTCTTCATTTTGAGTCTTGTAAATGATGGAATCGGTATCGTGATATAATACTCGGAAATTCAATTTTTCTAACATTTCGTACAATTTCAAACGCGCCCACGATGTGACACACGATGCTAAAACTACATTTCCATACTGCAAAGGACGAATGACTTCTTTCTTTTCTGTAAAAGTCACTTGTGCCATTTCTCCTTGATCCAACAAAATAACTTGATTGACTTCATGAACATCCGAATACAACAACTTGAAGTAATGTTCAGCTTCATTCACGTACTCGGTTTTTGATCGTTGTTCATTTTGAGCAAACTTTCCCCATAGTGAATTTAAAAATAATTTAGCAACATAACGCATCCCTGGATTAAAGGCTACTTTTTCAGGATCTAATTTGAGGTTTTCGCGTTGCTGGACTTCCTTCAAGAATTCCTGTTTCTCTTGGTCTGTTTGACATCGAGACGGCCAGCCTGATGCTTCCATCTTTAACTTTAAATTTTGATTAATATAATCAGAAAATAAGGTTTGAGTGGTTTCAGAGTAGTGCCATACTTCATGAAAAGCATGGATTTGATAACCTTTTTCTAAAGCTTTCTTTAATTCAAACGTTGTCCACACCCCGTCCAATAATCGACGCTGTTCTTTTGAATGAGGACACCGTTTATTTTTGTCATCGTTATCTTCTTCTTCTTCATTGCTTTCTTGCATGCATGTTCGACAAAGTCCAAACATCAATCGCTGATGAATAATCATCGGCAATACAGGGAAAAATAGTTCATGAGGTGGATCAACGTCGACTTTGACCAATCCGAACCATTTTTCTTTTTCGACATTGTCAATACATTCTTCCAACGATGGTAACAACGATACCGTAAGAATAGTTGGATGTCCGACAGGAAATCTCTCTTGTTTCATCACCGTGGGATAAAGAGAAACGACATCAATATAACGAATGCGATACGATGGAGTAGTCAAGGTTTGCAATATTTCATCAGTGGTATTCGTAGGTAATCCGATTTCGTCTGTATAAGCATAAAGATGAATTGCATTGGTTCGTCCTCCCATCAAAGCTTGTCTAGGCTGAAGAGGAAATTGACATGTCACTTCACGAGGAAAAGGAGTATGTTGAACTCGTTCGACATCCCATATGTGACTCCACATTTCAACCACAAAATACCCCGCTTGCCGCAATGCACGAGTTCGATCTTCCGTTTGCTCTTTCAACTCTAACATTGTTTTTCCCAGGTGAGGATTCTTCACAAATCGATTCTGAAAGCAGTCACACCCGTGCCAGTAACAGCCATGGTATTGGTAAACGGTTTTGGTCTCGTCGTCATAGCCATCCACTTTATCACCAAGAAGTGTTTTTTCGCCCAATGGGCTCAGAGCAGAACGAAGATGTGGAATTCCCAGAGAGTACAACCATTCCATCGATTGATGAGAATAAACATCTCTTGGACGATATCCCATGGGAGGAACAATTCCAATCATATCTTGATGAAGAAAGTTTTTCAGGAACACTTTCATACAAGTCGAGGCTAGTGTCACGGCTTCTTGAAATGGACTCACTCCATACAAAGAAACAATCAATTCGTGATACTTCAAACATCCTCTCATCATCACCAAGACATCTTGAATACAATATTCTGTTAATTCTTGTTGAAAATTCATGGTTTGATTTTGTCGGGTTAGCCACCATTCCTTCAATTCTTTTTTTTCAGATTCGGAGGTCATTTCATCATATCCATAATCTTGTAAAGGAGGATACGGTCCGATGTAATGTTCATTTTCTTTTTTATTAAAAAAATGAGGAAAGTACCCTTTCTTTCCACCCGATGTTCCAAACGCTGCAGGAAACTGACGTAAAGCCATGGGAATAAAACAAAGCGAATCTTTGAAGATAATTCCATTCACTGTCATGGTAAGAAGTTTTGTCCCTTGATAGACACACGATGTCGGACAAATGTTCCGTTTCACTAATCCTTCGAGAATAGGATACGAGTCGTATCCTTTGAAGTTGTGAGCCAGAAACGTATAATCCATCCATGTCTGCCTCATAGGTCCCAACAACCAATCCAGAAATTCATTTATCGTATCAAAGATCCATAAACGCTTTCGACCACAACTTCCCGTACAACCACGCGTTTTCCATTCTTCAATATGATCTTGACATTGATTGCACACTAACAACACAACGACTTTGTTGACAATGTGATGTTCTTCTAAACATCGCGTTTCAAAATCAAAAAATGCCAATTTCATAGGACGCTTGGAAACATCAAAGTCATGTTCACGATGCTGTTCAGTTTGAATGAAACACTGGTGTTCTCCTCGTGTCACGTCTCGAACTCCACAGATATTGCAATTGTATTGAAAACATCGATGAGACGATTTAGGTTTCAAAGCGTTGTCGGAGTTCGACCATCGATCTACAATGCAGTAACATTGAGTGCATTTAAATCGTCTTTCACATTGAGTAAACAGCACTCCTTTCTTGTCGCGTGTTTTTTTATGATGAAAAAAACACATTGTGGTGCCAAATCGAATTCCGCAATCTTCGCATAAGATAGCCGAATCTTTCTGAGGATGACATTGAGGATGACCACATCGAATACAATCACGATTACATTTATGAGTTTCTTTACTGTTGTTGTAACCTTTCATGCACTTCCTACAAAACCATTTGTATCCCATCCATGCTGCCATCGATCGAATCCAAGTGAAATGATGTCGATCATACTCTAAAAATAGAGAACGACTTTCTGGCTCGTTTTCTCCTCCAAAACGTGCTTGGATTTCTTTCAAACTGGTGTCGTAAACAATAAGTTCAATAGGTTTACTGTAATGTCTTTGAAGAATTTGAGCCCATCTTTTAACAGTTTCAAGATCAGACGGTTGGTTCCATGTATCATCCATTTTCAATTCTGCAAACCAATCTTGCAAAGCGATGGTAGGATTCAATTCGTATTTCCATTCTTTCATGGCTTGGAACAATGAAGCTCCTAAACAATTCTGTTCCATGTCACAATCGTATCGGCATCTTTTTTTACGTTTCAGTTCTTTTTCCGTACATTTGAAATGCGCTTTTCGTTTGTATTTTCTCAATCCATTAAATTCCTCTTCACTGCATCGGTGACTCTTATAGCTTGAACAACATTGACCGCATTTTAAACATAGAACCAATCTACCAGTAAAAAGTGCATTGGGGCTCAAAATTTCATACCATTCGTTGTCTGCGGTTTTCCATAACACGACGACACGATTCAAATCATGACATTGACTTTTCCAAAGAACCGTGTGAGGTTCACCCCATCCTTGCTCTTGACCCAATACAAGCACATTGATATCCGGATAAAGTTGGCACCATTTGGATAATCGTGAACACCAATCATCGTCGTTATTATCGTCGTTACTATCTTTTTTACCGAATCTTTGTAAAATACGTTTCAATGTGATCGACCAATTCAATACTTTAGTGATTCCTTTCCGTTCTTCCAACTCCATAAAACGTTCTTGAGTTACTCCGTTGTTTTTAAGTTTCCGTCCATTTCTTTCATGTGATTGTACAACACTGATGGTTATTGTCAAAGTAGCTCCCATCATCCATTCTTTTTTCGATTGTTGAATTCGATTGATAACATCCATAAGTGATCTTTGTTGATGTTCAGGAGAATGAAATGGGTGATAAGGTATGGTCAGCGGATACGTCAAATCACCTCCCAAGATACTGATATTCACACGATCTCGAGGCTGAAGATTTTCTGCTTCGTAGATTTGGAGCAAAGCACGTTGAAATACTAAATCGACCCACATTCGTCCATGGAAAAGAGCACGTTCTTCATTACCATCTCCTCGAAGTTCTTGGTTTTCATTGGTCACAAATACATATTCTACTGTACGAGTACGAAATTTTTTGGAATATGGTCCTACAACTCGCCTCCATGATTTAAAAAAATTAGTTTCTAATTCATCGTCATCTTCATCTTCATCTTCGCTATTCATATCCATAGTTCTACTACCTCCTACTTGATGGCACGTAAGGCACGTAACACCAATCTCAGGCGGTCTATATATTACACCAAGCACTATACAGCGAAGATTTTTGCTTTGCACTTGAATGTAAAGTTGATGCAATCCAGATTCAGTAATTCCCGTTAGGTCTTTCAGAATCCTGGCCTTTAGGTGTGATTTAATATAAGCACAGACACCACCTCCCTCTTTTTTAGGACGATCCAGGCGATAGAACCTATACCCCTCAATCTCTACACTTGCATTAGTGTCCCTCGGGGCAGGTTTAAACCAAGTTTCAGAGATACACAAAATATCGAAGTCACTTTTTAAAGCCATGTCTGTGGTTTCGATAAAATGCTGCCTGGACTTAAGTAATTCCGGATTAATATGGGCTATTTGCAAGCATTTCTTTTGGAAGTTGGGCCTCGTACCATGTGCTGCGTGTTTTGACAATACTCCGATTTCGAGTTCTGGTTTGCTCTGTGTTAGCCTCAGAACCAAGCAACATATTCTTTTGTTTCATTGATAGCCCGAGAAAACGCATGGAATTTGCAAAGAAAAACAATTGAATTCATTTGAAATCTCATACTTTTATTCTCACAATTAGGAATATTTTGCGTACAAATGAGGCTAACACAGAGCATTGGAGAATTCGAAACTGGATTATTTCGCATTTTCTACGAACTATTTTGCATAGTTTTGATGATTTTATAAAATTTCGGATTTTACAGCTTTTCGTGATTTCACGTAACTTCTTAGTATATTTCTCTTTCTCTTTTGCGCCTTTCGGCAAACCTAAATATTAATGGATTTCTCTTTTCATTTCAGCACCAGTTTTCCGACATGCAATTCCTAAAAAGG